AAATACATTTTTTAGTGTTCTACATCTATTTTCAATACTTGGAAATGTTAAAACAAAACAGCATCTTCCTTATCTTTCCCATAAAGGGTATATTCATTATCCACTGTTCGATTTCATTCCGCTTACGCTTCCAATATCCAACAGCTACTTCTCCGACATCTAAATCTGAAGAAACCTTCTTTATTGATTTACCCTTGTCCAACCTCTTAATTGTATTCACTTTTGTTTCCAAAGGTGCAATTACTCTCTTCCGCTTTCCAGTCATATTGCACAGAAAGATTCTCTCTTACACTCACACAAATCAACTTATGAAAAATTAATTATGAAACCGAAACTAATAACTGGAATAAATTCACAAAACAGTACATAAAAGGAAAAATATTACCGTACAGATTCTTAATTTGACGATCTGAACGACACCAAATAAATCGGTAGTTAACACCACACAGAAATTTCTGCGCATGAAATCTCTTTCACATCAGCTTGACCTAAAGCATACCTTACAAATAATTCTCTTCTTATCAATAATCCAAAATTTTCAATTGATTGCCCATATAACAGCTGCCGATATAACTTCTGACCATCGACCCTTTTTTTATTACTCGATATTGTGATTCAACAAGTATGACTATAAAGGTAAATAAAGGTAAAACCAAGGCAAAATTTTGCCTCGGTTAACTGAGGGGCTCGGATAACCTAGACTCGGATAATCGCGAGTCTACTTAAAATATAATTTTGTATTATTTCTTCGAAAACGCAGAACGGTAGTGCATTTACGAAAACTGCTATTGTTTCCCGGGAACTCTTACAAGTAAATAATACAATGAGTTTTGTGAAGTGGAGAGTACGGTACTTAAAAGTATATTCGAAGAAGCTTCCGAAGAAGCGCAAATTTAAATTACCTCCAATCGAGTTCAAAAATTATTCAGAGATTGCAGTCTAGGTTTGGCATAGAGGATCTCCAAATTGAAGTTTACATTGAGAGCTCTCAAAGTTAATTTTAAGTCGAGTTTCTTAGTAATATATATATATATATATATATATATATATATATTATATATTATATATATATTATATATTATATATATATATATATATATATATATATATATATATATATATATATATATATATATATATATATATATATATAATAGTAATATTTCTGCTCTTTATGATATGATTGATAGTCAACTTCGTTCACTTGAGACCTTAGACAAAACTGCTGACAAGTTAGCGGCGATATTGTATCCTCTTATTAAGTCATGCCTGCCAGAAAATATGATTCGACTATGGCATCTTATGTTTTCGTGTCCATGGAAAATATTGGAAAAACTGCAGAAGTTACAACTTTAAAAACACCCTTTAGAGTGGGTTAATGACATTTTTACAGAGTGAAGTTTAAAATGAAAAAAAAAATTGATTTAGCAACGGAAGGTTTTCGTTTACTGGCTGAAAATGAATATAAATTCAATAGTCTTATTGCCAAGATAAATGTAAAATTACAAAGAACTGATCAGCCCTTAGCGTCCGCTGATGGGTTAATAAATTATGAGGTTTACAGGTGTATATTTTTATTATAAGTAATTGTTTGTACTTGAAATAAGTTTAGCTTTTTACAAAACTAATATGCACAATTTAAAATGTTTACAAAACTAAAAAAACAACACAAAAAAAAAAACAAAACAACAATTTAACTTCAAAGGTAAATGAACCTCAACGCAACACGATACAAAAATTAAAAAATTATATGGAATGATGCAATCCAAAAATTAGAATTTGTGAAACTTCAAAAATAATACGATAGCTAATTTCAACTTACATTGCAGAAGACTGCCGACCGTGAGCGAACTATACCGATTCTCCCGATCGTATATTATATTTTAAGTTTCAATTCTTGGCCTCATTGGCAACACTGTCGCTGTTCAGATAATTAAATTTCGAGAAAATCAAAATATTAAAATATGATGCACGTGCTGCCATCTATTTAAAAAATTGTTAAACGTTAGTTTATTTGAACACCGCTCATTTTAACTGCGGCGTGAACATACCCCCTTAAAATGGAAAATGTCAACTACTGGTACAGTGTCAAGTACTAGTGCATTTACCTTAATATAAATATCAAAATTTATGCAGTGCGTTCCTGATTAAAGCATGATAAACACAAAGTTTGTTTTCTCTCACAAATATTACAATATGTAGTGACATTATTTACCATTATTGTTTCCCTCAGCTTTCTATAGCATTCTGTACATTTTCGCCATATTTTTAGTCCTGGTACTTTGAGTTTGATCATTACATATTTTCTCGTAGAAAAAGACTGAACAGTTATTTGTTCTACAGATTATGACTTCTGAACAAAGTTGAAATCACACTTCCCCTGCACTACTCAAAGTATTTATCCATAATACTTAGTGTAGATTGAAATATTGGTTACATTCTGTACTAGAACTACTGTCCATTTATAGAACTTCGCAGAGCTAAATTTAATATTTTATCTGTTCTACTACTTCTGTTGTAACATTTTCATATTTTTAGTCATAACTGCTCTTCAATTTTGTCCCATCATATCAAATTTCACCATAATTTCAAGTTTCCATATAATTAATTTTATCTGTGTTTAATCCATATAAAAAGTAATAATATTTCTACCATATAATCAATTCTGTATTATAAACACACCCAAATTACTATTAAATGTCTATATTAATGTTTCATTTTCATTTAAGTAGTTTGGTTCAAAGATATAAATAATATGCAGGTGCCAAGATTTGAGACATATTAGTTTTGGTGTCTGATGGAGACACTTGTAAATGACCAATTTTTTAAATACAGTTTTGTGTTGATAACTCGTAATAATAGTAAGGTTTTTATTTTTGTCCCTCTTTGATTGATCATGAAATTATAGAAAGCATTATCTATGTAGAGTTCTAGTGTGGGGTCACCTCCAGAGACTGCGCAAATTTTCACGTCATTGTCATCTCTCCTGCTTAATTGTTCATTTGGCTCAACCAGATAAGATTTGGATTTCGACATGCTTTTAAAAAAAGGGTCATGCTAGTTTTTTTCTAAGAAGCTACTTCATGATACATGGTCTAGGGGTGAATGAGCTTGCCATTATTAACCTTTGAATTTCCAGTTAAAATTGAATAGACATTTCTATATATAGTTAGGATTATTGACTGAAAAATATATGTATCATTTTACTATTAAGTGTTCATTTATTACATTACTGAATTTTTATATAATAATTAATTTATGCCATGCCCTCTTTCACACTTATGCATTATTTTGCTGCTAAATAACCTCCTATCCTTCTTCTAACTTCACCTTTCGCTCCATCCCACCCTTCCAACCCTACTCTTGTTTCTTCCTTTCAGTTTCTTGCTACCTGGCCATGTGCTTAGCATAATCATCTCACATTCTCCATCCCCTTTACTGTTACATGTACCAGCTTGACCTTTACTACCATACCTTTCTTATCTCTGGCTACTAGTTGCCTTTTTTTCACATGTTTTGCTGTCACCTTCTTCCCTCTTGCTGCCAATTCTATCATTTTTCTTGATTTTTCCACTGCTAGTGCTACTGGGGCCACTATCGCAGTTTATCCATAAATATGATCGAATAGCTTTATAACTGCTGCCAGGAATTTAACTGCCTTTGGTTCTCATCTATTCATTTTCGTCTACATGTTATTTTACCTCCATTTTCACCATCTTTCATGTACAGTGGGTACAACTCTTATGGAGAGGTCTAGATTTGCACTAAATTCCTTTTTCACTCTTGCTTCAGCTGTGTCATCTATTACCAGATTGCCACATCATCAGTTGCCTCCAAAATTCCATTTTTGTAGATGGTTACCTTTTCATAAGCCTCCTCTGGTCATTTTCATTTAATATTTCCATTATTTCCTCTGTAATTTCTGCCACCCTAGAGGATGTTACCTGTGGATGTAACAAAGGATCCTGAGTGGATTATTTGATGGTAAAATATGTTATAAATACAAAGACATATCATGAAATAGACATGAGTATTTCTCATAAAAGCGAAAAAGCTTAACTGCTTAGGACATCTAGCATGATACTAGAACAACCTTACCAGACAAATTTTTATGTCACAGGTACATTGTGTTTGGTATATTTTGTATATACACTTGGCTGTAATTGGTTTCTTAGTAAAACATCTTGTCAATTATGGTTGATTTAATTTTATGAGGCACTTTCATGTAGTGTGATCTTATAGTTTCTTTAGATGATCTTTGACTTTTAATCCACACTTCCTTAAATACTTATTTACATCTGACATAAAACAGTCAAAGAAACATTCTTTTATAAGTGGTGTTCATCCAAATACTCTATTTGACTATCTTTAAAAAAAGGCGACCAAATTTATACTGACTCCATTCCATTATGCTCAGTCAATATGTATGCAATTTTTATCCTTAGTCACTTACTCAGTTATGAAGGCTTTTACAAAATCCAAAAAAGTTATTTTGAAGTCTAAAGAAATAGTTTTGCTGGACACACTTCTTAGGTGATACTAAGCTGAAATATGTTATGGAAATTTTCCATGTATCCAGCCAACTTATTGAATTGATCTTGCTAACAGTAAACTACCTACTTTTTACACAAAACCTAGTATATGACGCCTTATCCAGAGTATTGCGTTTAGGTTTCCCTATCCAGAGCCTTGTGTTTTTAGGTACTACTGGAAAAATTTTTGCCTAAGTACTACTAAAATGGTCTGATCATATTTTTTACTAACCGCTTGTAAAGGTTTTTATTAATATTTTTAAATTTTTCATTTTCAAATATGTTTTGTTCAGTTTACATAGCACATATTATAAAAACTGATAAAACAGATTTCTTGCATTTTTTTTATCATATAAGACACATTTATACTGCATACTACTTTCTTCATATTACTTTTTATTCTCCGCATACTCATTTTTCTGTACATGATGTAAGTATCTTAATGTAATGCTTTATTTATATTTCTAGTATAAAAATGATCCATTGTTTGAAGAATATCTACAAGTTCATGCCCCAAATGAATCCGAAAAGCTTCAGAAGCTTAAAAATATGCAAGCAAATCAAGAACAAGAAGGAAATGAAGAAAAAAACGAAGATATAAGTAAATTACCCAATGAAGATAACGAAGAATCTGATTATAAAAGTGAATCAGAAGATGGTAATAAGAAATTAGCTAATGAACAAATTTCCGATTTAGAGTACATGAAACAATTAATGAAGGGTGAAACTGAAAGGAAGCCAAGGGAGAAAATGAAAAAGAAGGTCAAAGAGCAGATAAAGTTGTTTACAATTAAGGTAGGTCTAAATTTATGTGCTCTCTCAAATATTTCATAATCTTTTGCAAGAATAAAGTAAATATATTATACTTTAAGTAAGCTTTAGGGTGATTTATGGAAAGAGTTTTTGTAAAAAATGTGAATTTAAGTTCAAATAAGTTCAGTTATATTTTTCTTTTTATTCTTCATGTTTTCTGAATCCCGAAGAAATAAATTATTTATAAACTTGAAACAATACGAGTAATAACAGCAGATAACACAGATAATTGAGAGACATAAGAAATGAATGATAAATTATAGCACCCAATGGTTGTATTACTAGTTACCTATAGGTATGTATAGTATTTGGTAACTAATGTAAAAGGAAATAGTGCTTCAAATAGTATTTACAAAAATATGTCACAATAACAATCTTGCAATAAGTAAGCAAATGGCTGGTCCAACTCAAGGCTGAAAGGAATTCTCCAAAAAGGAGACCAACATCTGAAAATATATATACTATGTTACATTGATATAGTTTTTCTTTATTACATATCCATTACTGTGCCGAATCTTCTTCAAGTGTCATCTTTGTTACGAATGTTGACTATTATCACTGTAATTTTAGCTCTCGAGGCTACAAGAGAACCAGTCTCTTTTACTTCTTAATCACACCATACTTCACCAACATAAGCTTCCTTGACACTGAATGAAAATTGTGTTTGTCCGATTTCGGCTTCGCAAGTTTTTATATATATTCTGTGATGATCTATTTTTAAGATTATTCTTAGCATATTTTTTGTACATTACATTTTCTTCTGATCTCTTTCATTCCTCTTTGGTGTCTTAGCATATTTTGTTTCTGGTCGTATTATTGGTCATATACTGGCTTTTTAAATTCTTTATTTCATCTCAGTGTTACTATCGGTCAGTTTCGTCATATATTTTTATTAAGGTATGTCAGTATTATATATGACTGTAGTCAGATCTATGCTTACATATGGAGAACTGATGTGATGATCTAAATGCCAACAAAATGAGCGATGTCGACTACCACTACTACCTCCTTGGAGACCATACTTGACATCTCTCCCTTACATATATAGTCTCGCTGTCTATGTAGTCGTTATCTGACGATTCTTATAAATTTCGTTTGTATCTGTTTTCTTACTTCCAAAAAGTAAGACAAAGTGGAAAGATTCGAACGCAGTTATGAGGTTTGCATCGTTTTATAAAGTCCTTTTGTTCGCTTCTTATCGATCGACGATGATAAATATAATAAAACTGTTGAAGTTGTGGTGTAAAAGTGTTGATTTCTTGACATTACAGGGACATTACAAACCGATTCGAACCTCAATACCTAAGTTTGAATCTTCCCACAAAGTATGACGTAGTTGCAGGTGAAACGCCAGTAAGAAATAATACCACGATCTATAAACCCCGAAAACATGTACCATTACAAAACACCGGCAGTGAAATCTTACAATCTTCGATCAACAGATCAGATTCAGTCTTTCTTCCGGTCACGACTAGGCTTTTTGGCACTGCTACGTCCGGTTCTGGACCGAAGTATTTTGTAGCTGATGCGTTCTTTTGGCAAGTTGATCAGCTTTTTCATTGCCGTGTATTCCCTGGTAACCTGGAACCTATACCAGTGTGACACTGTTATTTTCTGCCAGTCTGAGTTCTTCACGGAATTTACACACTCTTATTTTAATTTCTCTTGCATATTTAAAGATGACATAAATCTCTGCCTGGAATACATAAATATTCTCCTAGTTGAATATAAATATTTACATTTCCACCACTACTGAATATTCCTTCACCCGACATTTCTGCAATTTTTGACACATCTGTGTATCAGGTATAACCCTGTAGTTTTTGTTGTATGTTTTCTCTGCTTCATCCATTTCGTACACAAATGTCCACTTGATGCTTTGTATCTGAGTATCATAAGGTCAGATATTATCATAATTTGGAATTCATTATTTCATTTATAATTTAGTATTCTTCTTCATGTACCATGTCCTTTCAGAACGTTGGTTACCATCATAGCTATTTTAATTTTATTCACTGCCACCCTAAATAGCATGCTTGTATCTATACCATACCAATCTCGCAAGTTCTTCAACCATGAGGTTCTTCTTCGTCCTGGACTGCGTTTGCCTGCTATTTTTCCTTGCATGATATTCTGTAGCAATCTATATTTGGGACCTCTCATTACATGTCCGAAATATTCTAGCTTTCTCTGCTTGATGCTTTTTATGATCTCAGTGGTCTTGCTGAGACGTTCAAGTATTGTGGAGTTACGAATCTTCTCCACCCAGGAAACTTTTAAAATTCTTCTATAGCACCACATTTCGAAAGCCTCAAGGCGATTTAGATCGATTTTATTCACAGTCCAGGACTCGACAGCATAAAGTAAGACCGAGAACACGTAGCAGCGAAGTAGGCGGATCCTTAATGCCAATTTTAGGTCTCTGTTACATAACACCTTGGACATCCTTCTAAAAGCAGCTCTAGCCTGCTCTATTCTGGATCTAATTTCGCCGTGATTTTCTGCATTACAATTTAATTGCTGTCCAAGGTAGACGATTTTATCAACTTGCTCAAGTTTGGTATTATTTACATATATAGACGGTTTTATATTCTGTTGTTTACTTATTACAAGTATTTTGGTTTTCCTTATGTTAAGGAAAATGTTAATTTAGTATGTCCTGGTCTAACCAATACGTTTCTAAGGTTTTCTTGTTTTCTATGATAACCCAGTCTTTCCTCCCCCTTATATCAATGAGCTTCCAAAATTTCCCAATAATATTTCGAAGGAGTCTTCTGTAGTACCTATTTTCGCGTTGAAATCGTCACGTATTATTAAGAAGTGGTCAGGATTTTCCTTGATTGCACGGATATTTGATCGTAGAATATTTGGACTCCTTCGTCTGGATGTCCTGTGGTAGGGGCGTACTCCTGAACGATCTTTAGGATATATCTTAGACTTATTTTGATATTTAGACCACCCTTGTTTATATTTGGTTTATTGATACAATTCTGTCGGTAATTCTTTTGTGAATAAAGAAACCGACGACTCAGACTGTCGATTCTTCTTCTCCTTTGTAGTACCATAAACGGCCTGATGGAAGTGTGATAAGACTCACTCCCTTTTTTCTTACTTCACTGATACCCACAGTATCCCAATCCACTTTTGATAGTTCTTGCTTTATTTCTTCGAATCGTTCCTCCAAAGAGAGTGACCGAGCATTATATGTGGCGATGTTGAGGTTTATCTTTTTGACGCACTTTGAGTAGGGTTGGTTTACAGTGATTTGCCTAGACCTAAACCGCTAATTTGGATAATAGGCATGTTATTTGATATTTTTATAAAAAAACTAATTGTGTTTATTTTTTTTTAGCTCAGGGATTTACCATATAACATAAAAAAGAAAGACATAAAACATTTCTTTAAACCCATATCCTGTTATAGTGTGAGGATACCTAGAAATATACATGGAATAGCATTTGTAGGTTTTAAAACAGAGAGGTTACTCAACAAGGCCTTAATTAAAAATAGAAGTTTCATTAGTAAGTTTTTAACCATTACATTTTTAACAGTATTTTAGTATTCTGTTTTGGATAAAACTATATTTCTTTGATGCACTATATTTCTTGAAAACAACGCATCACACAACATAAAAGTGATTGCCGCTTGGAAAAAATACTTGCGCAGTAGTTGAGCACTATGAAAACACCGGTCATATGCTAGACTATAACAAAGCTTACATTTTGGCACAGTCTGATTACAAAAGGAGATTATTTCTTGAAATGTATCACATTAACAAAAATAAAAATACTTTAAATTATAAAACGGACACTGGACAGTTAAGGAACATATATTGTAATATATTGAACAATCCCGAAGAAACCAAATGCCCAGATTTGTGATGACTACTGGCTTATAAGCTTGATCAATCATGTCACTAAAGCGTTCACTAAGATCATTCATAGAAGAATATATGATAAATGTGAGTCAAATATTGATAGATCGCAGTTTGGTTTTCGGAAAGCACTTGGAACTAGAGAAGCAATTTTCGCTCTCCAGGTGCTTATACAACGGTGTAGAGACGTTGATAAGGACGTGTATTTGTGCTTTGTAGATTTTAGAAAAGCATTTGACAATGTCAATCATGAACAATTGATAGGTATTCTGCGAAAGACAGGTATTGACGATAAGGACATTCAAATTGTGGCAAACCTATACTGGGGTCAAACAGCAAGAGCAAAAATTGGCAACGAACTCACTATTCACTATCCCCACTCCTATTCAATATGTATTCCGAAGAAATATTTAATAAATGTATGGAAAATGCAAATAAATGTATAAAAATAAACGGCGAGTTAACGAACAATATAAGATATGCCGACGACACGGTGATCCTTGCCAGTACCATAGACGAATTACAACAAGTAATGGAAAGACTTTATTCAGTTAGTGAGGAATACGGCCTGAGCCTCAACTTTAAGAAGACAAAGTGGATGCTGATAAGCAAAAAGCAACAACCTGCTCGACAATTACGGATAAGTAACATAGTAATTGACCATATAGAAAACTTATGTGTACCTTGGCACCAACGTAAATGCAAAATGGGAACAGGCCATAGAAATTAAGACGAGAATAGAACGAGCTAGAGCAGCATTTAGCAATATGAAAAAGCTCCTCATAAGCAAGGATTTGTCTCTTCCTCTAAAACTACGTCTAGTTAAATGCTACATTTTTCCGATCTTGCTGTATGGCGTGGAGGCCTGGACGCTGACGGAGACGCTAACGAGAAAACTAGAAGCATTCGAAATGTGGGTGTACCGACGCATTCTTCGTATATCCTGGACCGAACATGTCACCAACATAGAGGTACTCCAAGGAATCGGAAAGGAGAAAGAAATCGTGAATACAATTAAACAGAGAAAGCTTGAATTTTGATTTTTGTAATGTTAAAATTGTTTTACGGTGTACTCCTGATGAAGCTATAAAATAAATAGCAAAATATTGACTTCCTTAGAAAAAACAAAGATTTTTAATAGAGGCCCCTATACCTGATAATTTCTACGTGTTTATATATATATATATATATATATATATATATATATATATATATATATATATATATATATATATATATAATCATCATCATCATGTGCAGCTTTGTCGACCGTTTCCAATTACGGTGCAGCCTCCCTTATTTCAATGTTATTCTATGTTCTTATTAGTATTCGACGATGTCTTAGTTATTCGTTGTTTTTGTAATTTGCGCTCATTTGCGTCCATATTTTTCTATCTTGTGCTATTCGAGACCACGTTGTATATATATATATATATATATATATATATATATATATACATATATACATATATATATATATATATATATACATATATACATATATATATATATATATATATATATATATATATATATATATATATATATATATATATATATACATCGTGGAAATCCCTTATAGCGGCATCGGTTAACACGTCATATCACTTAGTAAGTCCCATGTTCCGAGGTTTTTGCACCCGCAACATTAACAATGGAAAGAAATATCGTTTATAACGGCATCGATTACAACGAAATATTGTTTTCGCTGAAAATTTCTGATAGTAAGCAGTTTTATATCCAAGAAAAAGCTCACATCTTTTGGAAGAGAGAGAAACGAACACAAATTGCGAAAGACCTTGGCATAAGTCACTCTACAATAACTTCAATTAAAATACTTGTAAAAAAAAACTAGTAAAAATAGAAACATCGTTTATTGAAGAGTGTTCAGCTAGAACCAGCAAACATTTTGAAATTGAAGATGTACTTTTAGAGTGATTTAAATAGCAGAGATCCCACAAATTGCAGATCTAGTCGAAATTGCATTGCTATGTAAACTTTTTTTTCTGACTGGCGGCGAAATTTGTACCACGAAACTCCTAGAATACTCCTAGTCACAGTGAGTGCTCTGGCCGCTCGTCTATTAGATGTTATTAATGTATTTGTAACATTTATTATACTAAAAGATTGGATAGTTTGGTTCAATTTGTACAATCATAATATTATCAATTGCTTTTCTTTTATAATAAAAACATTTTTTTTTAGATGGAAAACGTATTCTAGTTACCAAATACACAACTAGTGAAGAAAAAGCTGAAGAAAGTGGAACCGTTAATAATAACACATCTAAGAATAAATGGCAATCCCAAGAAGAGTCTCTAAAGAATGAAGAAAGTATAGGAGAATCGGGTAGAATTTTTATTAGAAATTTAGCATACACAACAACAGAGGAAGATATTGAGAAAATGTTTTCCAAATATGGTAATTTAATATTGTTTTAAATTGATTTCTTTATTGCATCTTAGATTTTCCAAAAAGTCAAATTGACTTTTGACTACCAGACCGGAAGTTGTTTTCATAATACAATTTTTTATGGAATATAATCATAAAAACTTCTATTTTATAAAATCCACAAGGAAAAATTCCTGTAGCTGGCTGTATACCACGTATAACAAAAAGAGGTTAATCTTTGTAAATGGGTATATTTATTTAAAAAACCCTTAAAAGGGCCACATCAATAAAACAAACGTTTTCGGACTACACAGTCCATCATCAGGTTATTAAAATCGAAAATGCTAGGTCATAATGCCTGAGCCACCAAAATATTAGGGTAAAAACCCTTTAAATTACATTTAGTTATGAGATGTTGTACATTGTGTTATAAAATAACTGTGATGTTCTATATTAAATTAAATTTGACTAAAGGTAACACATGACTCAATTGGGTTCCAGAGCCGGGCGAGAGAGAACCTCTGCACTCGGAGAACAACGTGGAACCTATTTACAAAGATTAACCTCTTTTTTTTTCTATTTTATAGTTATATGGGTTTTAAAAACTAAAGTTTTGGCATTTGATTAAAAAATGTGTATCCAATACCAATGTGTAACCCTTTTTTAGATGTTTATAGAAAGGTCACCAATAGGCGAGCGGTTTACCCCTATAAGCAGAGCATCAACCGACTAAAATTATTTTTGCATTTCTAATGCACCAAACCTTTTTTTATTCGATTTTATATATTTTTCCAAGATGAAATATATATTTTTTTTAATTTTTACAAGTGGGCCGGCAATTGTTATTAACAAATAACTTATACAAAAAAGCAACTTCACCGAATTGTTTTGGAATCAATTTTTTTAGGTGTATCTCATCAAAATAAACACTTTTTCTCTCTTGATAATTTTTCGAAAAAATGCATTTCGAGTTATTTGCATTTTTTTGTTGAAAAAATGCCTTAATTAGTGATTTTTGGGATTTTTTTTCTAAAAAAAACTACTAAATGAATTGCAATTTTACAAATAGCTTTATAATCTTTAAACCGTCGAGTACAAGTTACAATGTTTTGACAAGGATAAATGGTTTCTATACTACGTTCCACGTTTAGAAAATAACATTGCGGAGATAGGGCTATGTATTTCTTATGGACGATAGCAACGCGGCGTTGTCACGACACACACAAGCACAATTTAGGGTTGTATAATTTGTATTTTCGTTTCCACAAACATGAATTAAATTAATGTTTTTTAACGTAATTGACCAAAAGTGCCCATTCGAAACAAAAGATGAAAAGTAGGGAAAATGATTTTAATTAGATAAATAGTATTTACAAAAGATAATTTTATTTTATCTTATTTTAATTATAGTAACGACAGTTTATTTGTTTTTTCGGTGAGAATACGATATGCCATGAATCATAGAAATCAGTAGAAAATATTGACCGCGCGTATATCTAATTACTAATTGCAACTTAAAATAATACGCTGTGCGTATGTCAGCTATTTTATGTCGTTCTCTGACTACATAATGATAATAAGGCTTTTATTTAGTAAAATTCCACGAGGAAACTAAGTTCCTGTAGCTGGCTGTATACCATATATCACAAAAAATTTTTGTTAAAATCCTTTATAAAAGGTATATAAAAATGCCTCAAACGGGCTATCACAAACACATTGCAAAACGTTTTCGGATTAAACAATCCATCATCAGTGCAAACGGTTGTACATGCTAGTAGCCACCAAAATATATGGGTAAAAACCCTTTAAATGTTATAAATTTGAATTTGTTTTACATTATTAGTATTTCTAATTTGTGATGGTTAAGTTATCGTTGGATAGGTAACATGGCGGCGTATGACTCTACATGAGTCATATTAATTTTAGTAATTATTATATACTATTAATTTTAGTAATAATATTAAACTTAGCTCTAGGTTTCATTGTACTAACCGCGAAAATCTTTCCGAACATATATATATGTATATATATATATATATATATATATATATATATATATATATATATATATATACTATTAATTTTAGTAATAATATTAAACTTAGCTCTAGGTTTCATTGTACTAACCGCGAAAATCTTTCCGAACATATATATATGTATATATATATATATATATATATATATATATATATATATATATATATATATATATATATATATATATATATATTCCCAGATATCTAAACCTTGCTTCCTGCTTTATTATTTTCCTATCAATTTCGATTTTATATCGTACTGGGTATTTAGATGTTGACATAAGACATAAAGAGAGCAGTTAATTAAATAATCCAATAAAATAAAAATCAAATCTTTACTAGATCAGGACTTAAAGGAACTCGAGTTAAGGGAAACTCTAAACTTAATAATTTAATTTACCTCTGACAATATGAGTTATTAACAATTAACAATATTTTGACAATAACTCACAAATAAAAAAATATCAAAAACTTTGTTGCAAACAAAAATCAAATCAGCGAGACACTGTGTTTATCAAATTAAATTTCGGCTCTGCGGATATCAAAATTAAATGACTCTATAATTAAAGAGATAATAGCGTCATGCTTTCGCGAATTACCGATAAGTAGTTCAAAAATTGAAAACGCATGTACTCAGTGGCGTATCTTTAGTATGTTGAAAGAATTATATTTATATAAAAAACTCAAAAGAAAGAATATAAATTAAAAAAAAAATGTTAAAAAATGAAGTTTAATTAAATGCTCCCCCTTTTGAAATCTTAAACGTTAATAAACTTAGCATATACAATATTCTGGCCTGCCTTAATGTGTTATAGAACTTAAGTAATAATTGAAGGTGTCCTGGTTGCTATCGACATACGCCACGGTGACAAAAATGATTATAAGAGTAAAAAATATATTAACATAATTATTACATACAAATTAACGTCTAAGGTTGCTATTTAATTTTCAGGTCCTTTAACGGAAGTTAACTTACCAATAGATGTAAGCACTAAAAAAATGAAAGGCTTTGGTTTGATAACTTTTTTAATGCCAGAACATGCTGTTAAAGCTTATTCAGAGCTAGATGGTTCTATTTTACATGGACGTATGCTTCACCTTCTTCCAGGCAAAAGCAAAGACACAAATGAAGAAGATTTAGAAGGTAATACTAGACAAGAGTTTTCTAATGCATACAGTATGTAGCCAAAAATTTTTCGGAAAAATATTAATGAAGAAAACTACAAACATAATTTACATTAAACTTAACAAATTTTCAACAAATTAAAAAAACGTTCATTCGTATTAAGGAAATTTAATAGATTTCTTAAACTACTAAAATATTTTACAGAATCATCGAATTTCAAAAAGAAAAAAGCTGCCAAGCAGAAAGCTCAAGCTGGTTCTTCGCACAATTGGAATTCCTTGTTTTTGGGCCACGATGCTGTAGCTGAAGTAATAGCCGACAGTTATGGAACTACTAAAGAAGCTGTGATAGGTCCTGATGGAAAGGGTAGTGCCGCTGTGAGATTAGCTTTGGGAGAAACGCAAATTGTTGCACAAACCAGGAAATATTTGGAACAAGAGGGTGTTGTGTTGGATGCCTTTGCTAACGTATGTTTAGAAAAAATTTTAATACTTTAATACTTCTAATTTTAAATATACATACGTAAATTTACTTCTGCTGACCAAATATACTGAACCTCGTATATAGTTCTTTTCTGATCGATGCAAATCATCCTAGCTAATTTGCGGTCTTTCTCGATCTTTTGTTTATTTCTTATATTTATATTTCTCCATTAATATTATACTTAGGTATATTAAATATAATAATCTTACGAGGTCGTCTTTAGCAGATTTGTCAATATGGATGTTCGTGTGGTAGTATGGAATATATATTTGTGTGTTTTATGCATGTCGAGAATTATTGCATGCAATTTGAGACAACTTTGACAGTTGCCAGGATTTTATTTGCCAAATTTATAATTTTCTTGTACTGAAATTAAAATGGTATTTTATTGCAATTTGAATTAGAATACAAGATTTATATTTTACTTAGTTTTGAGTAAACTATTGTAAATTGGTTTATTTGAAATTAAATAATAGTTTTTCCAATTTTGACTACACAATGGTATGGAAAAGCTCAAGAAGGAGCATTTGCTTTTCAAAGAGTTGACTAAAATGAATACACCTACTAGTTTACCCGTGGCATATGGATTTTACATGCCGTGTATAGAAATCAGAAAGACAAAATTTTTGTTTTTCTTTTTTAATAAAATATAAATATAATTTTATTGATATTTTGTAAATTAACTGAAATTCTAGTACAGAAAAACGGTTATTTTGCCAAAAAAACGAAATCAAAGCTTTAATGATAAAACTGTTGTTTTCATCACAACGCAGTAGTACAATTGCCAAAGTTAATTAATAAACCAATTTTTAAACAAAGCTCAGGAAGGAGCATTTGCTTTTCAAAGAGTTGACTAAAATAAATAAACCTACTAGTTTCCAGTTTACCCGTGGCATATGGATTTTACATGCCGTGTATAAAAATCAGAAAGACAAAATTTTTGTTTTTCTTTTTTAATAAAATATAAGTATAATTTTATTGATATTTTGTAAATTAACTGAAATTCTAGTACAGAAAAACGGTTATTTTGCAAAAAAAAACGAAATCAAAGCTTTAATGATAAAACTGTTGTTTTCATCACATCGCAGTAGTACAATTGCCAAAGTTAATTAATAAACAATTTTTTAAACAAAGTTCATTCGCTTCAAATCGTATTTATATAAAAAAACTTAACCTTCAATCAACGAAACCGTAATTTGTAAGCAGCAATTACTGTTGGGAGCCAATGGCTAACCTACGACATACGTTTACTTTAATTCTAGTCAGCTAAGTTCTCATAACTAGATACGACCTTAAATGTACGGTTATACATTGTATAGTACGGATGTCAGGTCAAACCACTTGCGTAGGTTTTGAATCCATGAGTGTCTTCTTTGGTCTGGATCTCTTCTGCAATCCACCTTTCTTTGAAGGACAAGCTGCTTGAGGCAGTATTTGTTCTCATCAGATTACCAAAATATTCTACCGTTCTTTTCTTCACTTTAAACGTAATTTTTGTTGCTTGTGGATACCACAATCACTTCCACGTTTGTAATGTCTAGGATAATCGTGAATACGTCGATATGTCCACATTTCATAGATAGATAGCTTTTTCTGTAGCGTTTTTGTGATGGTCTATACTTCCTCACCATACAGTAAAACTAGAAATATTGAAAATGAAAATGTGAAAATTTTTTAGTAGTAGTGAAAAGTCCCTTTTAGTAAATATGTGCTTCACCTTGATAAAACTTGACATCGCGGAACTAGTGAACTCATGGAAAAACAAAAAAAAACAAGAGGAGGCTCAAATATTTACCACCAATTTTGTAGAAATAAAGAATGGTTACTTTTCTTGGATATACCAGATAAACTAAATAGAGAGGCACAATGTTTCAAAAACTTATCTACATGCTTAAATTAATAACTTATTTTTTTCTCTTTACTACAAATGAAATAATATGTATCTATTTATTTTTTAGTCATCAGGAAAGAGATCAAAAATTGTAATATTAGTTAAGAATTTACCATCCAAGACTGAGGCTAGAGAAATTCGTGAAATGTTTGAGAAACATGGAGAAGTTGGTAGAGTTATTTTACCTTCAAGTGGAATTACAGGTAATACAAGTGTTTATAGTCAATATATTATCGTATATTTAATTTCAGCTTTCTCCCTTAACAGGTTGGATGCCGCTATTTTGTAACTTACTTTTACGTGGTACCGACTAAGAAATGTAAATAAATATATAAATACGTACGGAACGCTTATAAGCGACGTTAACAAGTGTTATAACGTAGCTATTAATATGCATTCTTTCCGGATTAAAAAATTACTGTTTTAATGAATAAAATTATATATATATATATATATATATATATATATATATATATATATATATATATATATATATACTTTGGTATTTTCTTCTGCTATTATAGAAAACTCGCGAACAAGTCTAAATCTATTTTTCGAGCTTCTCATGTGCTGAATAATTCATTTGTGTATTTATTGACAGCTGTCAAAAATATTATACCATCGAAATTTTTGTTAAGTCGTCAGAGATTTGTTCTCTAAAAACGGGACGAATCAGCTAAATTTTGCTGAGAATGTCAATTTTGCGGCCCCAAAAAAAGATGCAAACAAGTTTGCCACTCCTACATTGTTCGAGCTTGTTTGTATGGTTTTTAGAGGTTCATTGGTATTTTCGTCTCTGGCGACTGGAATAATGTGATACATAATTTAATAGCTCCTGTGCCACTCAGTACTTGCAGATATTTTTGTGTGATTCTGTAGATCTTTCAATCACCTTTGAGACTATGAAAAAAATATAGATAACCTCAATAATTTGATAGTCTTTATCTTTTATGGAAAAAGCCGACACATCATTTATATTCGTTATTTCCCACATTTTGATAAACTTATTTTTTTTTATTGGTGCATGTCAAAAATATGATATCGACATTTTGAATAAATTACAATGTACTGCCTGTGATAAATTACTTGTGCCACTAAATTTTCCTACAATTGTTTAGCGCTGTTTCAAAATGGCGACTGTTGAACTTTGAATGTTATCATAAACTGACTCCTAGTGAAAGAAAAACTCTTTTCAGTTTCTAGGATCATAATAAGTGACAGAAAAAGTATTAAGTGATGTATCGTTCATGCCATATATGGTCATTTAAGAAAAAAAATCTATGACATCATACTTTCGAAAGATGTCATTAAAAAAGCAAATAAATTTTATTAGATTGTGTGCATACGAAAAGCAAATTGATCTACCAGCGTTTTCCATAAAAGCGACTACCAAATTATTAGGGGTATTCACTACGTTTTCTTACACTGTCACCATTAAGAAGTAAACAGCCTCCATTTTGAAACAGTGGAACAGAATAGGATAAAAATCTGAGAGCACACTAAATGACAAAAGAGTGTTTAAGTGTTTATTTAAAATGGCACCTTCAGCCATATTGAATGAACTAAAATATAAAAATATTGTACAGGTATCTTAGTTCAGTAAAAAAATTAAAATATGTAAATAGCACCTTTGTCCACCAACTTATTAGGCTGTAGGCTATGTATAGGTCATAATACTACGCTGTAGGCTGTGTAGATCAGAATACAAGTCAAAGTCACAGTTTAAAGCTATATTTTATTTAAAATAAATTGAAATATCATTCTGTGAGTCAATGCAAATATGGAACACAAACATGTAGGACGCTACCCTTTTTAATTGCCCTGCAAAATTTCTTCGTAATACCATCTGTGTTCAAGGGGCACATATGGCAATAACTGTTTGATGTCTTCTTTTTTCTTTGCAGACAAGCTGCAATCTTCTTGTTTATCCTTGGAACTTTAAAGCTTGGGAATATATTAACACACAGCTTTAAAAAGAAAAAGACAGTCAAGATTTGATTTCACGTATAGTGCGTCTGTGTATCTGCTTATACGTATTTCGCCGTAGTATGGCTCGTCAGAACAGCTTTACAGTCGTTCTGATCGTAAAAATAAATCTATTCTGTTTTAGGAAGCAAATCTAACATGGTTTCGTATATTCGCAAATAGCGACATCTGATATTAAAATCCGTAAACTAATTTTCGAAACTCTATACGTGAAATCAAATCTTCACTGTCTTTTTCTTTTTATTCCGATATACTCTGTACGAGTACAAGAAACCAATTCGCTAAGGATTTTTGCTTAGTTGAGGAGATATGTCGTGGAATGAAAATTTTAGATTCCCCATGTCTCTATTAACATCTTTATCAACGTCTGTTTTGCCTTGCAATTCTTAGAAGGCACAGATTAAAGCAAAAATCCGAAGTTGGTTTCGAAAACACATAGTTTTATTTGTCTTATTGGTAGACTTATAATGTTGAATGCCCACTTTCTTGAACGGCATGTTGGGGTTGTAGCTATATTTGAACAGATAACTACCAAATTCATCTATCATCCATTTGATACCATCCCTAAAGTGAACAGTCTCTCCAAGGAAGTCTTTTTCCGGTTTACTAGTTTTTAGAGAAGTAGCCAATTTCTCAATGTTCCTAAAGTGAGGTTCCATATTTATAACCTGATTTCCTTTGGTTATTATGTGTCGATACTCATCTGGTAAGAACAGATTAAGCTATTGCCGTAGGTTCTTTTCGATTCGACCAGAGTCACGGTCCGAGTCTAGGTAAGAGTGGTCTATAGTTTTGAAGTACCCTTTCAAAATCATGTACTGATACAGACAAATAATTTGGAAATTCTTACTTTGTTCGGTATAAGAGTCGGATCACACTTGCAGATGATTTTTTGCTCGAACTATCACTTTCAACCGCACTCAACAGTGAACTTACAACTTCTGTACTGTCAGGATTTGCTATATCTTCTGTCCAGGTAAAAAATGGACCCTGTTTTTAGTGTACATCTGTCTTTTATGAAAAGCTAGCTAAAAGAGATACATAATTTCGACCTATTTAATACAATGACATTAGAGCTGGTTTACAAATTGGCACATGATTTCTTTTTACTGTAATCCTGCACTTAAAAGATGCAGTTTTAAAAGAGCTAAAACAAATTACATTTTTCCCGTTAAAATTATGTGTGTAGAAGTCATTAAAAATTGAAACTCTTGTATAAGGTTAATCCTACTTGAACATTTTAATCGACACTTTTCATTACATATAATGTAAAGTAACTTTCTCCACATTCTGTTGCTTTGGCAGCCACATTTGTTTTCCATTTTTATTTATTTTTTTGTCGTTTCTTGTACAATTTTTGTTTTTTTTTAACTTGTGGCCTGGTTACTATCAATAAAGCTACTCACCACTTTATCATTAACCCATCTACTGTTGTAATTGAAGTGGGAATTTGCCGGTTTAAGACATCACTTTCCCCATCAGGCCCTGGATGTATTTTTCTTGCAGAATTTGTACATGTTAAAGGGAATTCTAGAAAATTAGTTTTATTTCGACAAGACAGAAACCTTCTAGAAGAGGAAATACGATCGCTTCTTATATAATCATCATTACTACCATTTTCACTATCACTAACGATGTCCGAGTCCGGTACAAATTCATCACTTGATGGATCGTCGAAAATGCCACTGGCATCTTGAACCTGAAACCACATAAATACATTATGTGGTTTCAGGTTCAATACAAAATTATATTATAATATTATAATTATAACATTAGGCTTAACTTGTCATCATCATTTTGGCTTTACAACCCTGCGTGGGTCCTAGCCTTCTCAAGAATTTCTCGCACGTATTCCCATATGGGCAGATGAGATGGGCAGATGATATCAAGAAGCACATGGGCTCTAGGTGGATGACTGTAACGACAGACAGAGAATAATGAAAAAGGATTCGGGAGGCCTATGTCCAAAGATGGACTGAAGAAGGCTAATTAGATAGATAGATTGATTCCCATATTTCTTATGTCTTCATCGATGTTATCAAGAAATCTTGTTCTGGGTCTTCCTCTTCTTCTCTGACCAATGGGTCTATCAAGGAGCGTTTTCTAGCTAGGTCATTTTGTTCCATCCGCATTAACTGCCCTATCCACCTCAGACGTCCTATCTTAATATGTTTTACGATATCTATATTCTATGTCTATCTATATATGGTATATTCTATAAAATTCGAAGTTGTATCGTCTTTAACTTGTTATTTGATAAAATATTGTCTACTATAACATTTAAAATAACCTTAAAATCGTTGATGTGAGGAAAGCAATGTTTTAATTTATTTGTAATGTTAAGATATTTTATTACATTATTTTAGGCTAGATATTTCACCAATCTTACCTTCATAACTGTCTTCTTTTGATTTCTTAAGAGCAAATTCTAGTGTTTTTTCACTTCTCATTTCAACAAGCAGCTGTATCTTAGTTTACAAAGTCAGCAAAGCACAGGGACTAAGTGGATGATGGTGTTATGTGCATGCTTAAGACACGTAGCATCTTCTTCTTTTAAACATTCTGCATGTTAGTGTATCATAACCCCTTCACCAGCTGACTAAATATTAAATTGTTGCTAGAAGTGAATGGGAGATGGTGCTATGAGAAATAATAGCACATAACGCCTTCATCCACATAGATATCCAAATTTTCAAACAAATGTAACATAACACCTTCACCTTCCAAGCCCTTCAATTTCTGTTTATTTGAAAACTACATGAAAATCTAATAAATGTTGTTTAATACAATGTTACATTATTTTTTTTAGCAATTGTTGAATTTCTTGAACCTTCCGAAGCAAGAAAGGCATTTACAAGATTAGCTTACACTAAATTTAAAAACATGCCTCTATATCTTGAATGGGCTCCCGAAAACAGCTTAAAAGAATCAAGCAAAGATAATACTGAAAAAATTGTAAAAACTGACGATAACAAAATAGAACCAGAAAAAGAAATCAATTCAGAACAAAATAACGAAGAAAATACTAACGAAAACAATGTTGAGGAAGCTGAAGAAGAAGAGGAAGAACCTGAGCCTGATACTACTTTGTTTGTGAAAAATTTGAATTTCAAAACTACTGATGAAGGTTTAAGAAAAGTAAGTATTAACAATATTGAAAGAGAGTTTTTTAATGTGTGTTTGTTTCTAGCATTTTGTAAGTTGCGGTAAAATCCACTATGCCAATGTCGCTACCAAAAAAGATCCCAAAGATCCTAACAATGTTTTATCCATGGGTTATGGTTTTATTCGGTTCACGTACAAAGCCGGAGCTGATAAGGCTTTAAAAACTATGCAACAAAGTGTTTTAGATGGGAAATCGTTGGAACTGAAGAGATCAGAAAGAACATTCAAGTAAGTTTTTGTATCACCCATATTATGTCAGACATTAGCCTATATAGTATTTCACGAATCTCAATTTATAAATTTTATGTTGCATTATCAATCAAGACAATCGTATATTTCTCCAATACACAAGAAAGGCACAAAAATGGATCCAAAAACTATAGAGGGATCGCAGTAATTGCTACTATAGGCCGATTATATTCAAAAGTACTGAGAAACCTGATAGAAAATGATGTTAAAGATAAACAACCCGAAGAACAAGCGGGATTTAGGGCCGGACGCTCCACTATGGATAATATTTTCACATTAAAAATTGCAATGGAAAAACGAGTGCAGAGAAATAGAGAAACCCATATACCTTTAATAGACCTGCAAAAAGCATATGATAGTGTACCGATCTCCCAACTATGGATAGAAATGGATAACTTGAAAATAAACCCAATTCAAGAAATCACCTCTCCTTTTCAAACAACAAAGGGACTAATACAAGGCTGCTGTCTGTCACCCACCTAATTTAAAATCTATTTGGACAGATCCTTAGTGAAATGGGTAAAAAAATGTAGAAACATGGGAATAACGGTGGAAGAAAACACGCTATATACACTTTTCTTTGCGGATGATCAGGTAGTAATTGCCGAAGATAGCTACGATCTTAGCTATATGGTAAGAAAACTGCAAGAAGAATATGAGGTGACAGGTCTAAACATGAATATGACAAAATGTGAATATCTATTAGTGGGAACAGATGAAATATGTGACCTAGTCTTGGAAGACGACAAAATCAAAGGCGTACAATCCTGCAAATATTTGGGGGTCATTTTCAATAAGAAGGGAAATAGCGCAGATAAAATCAGGGACAGAATAAACAAGGGTAGAGCAGCGACCCGTGCCTTAAACTCTCTTCTCTGGCAAAAAACAATTCGACGAGAAACTAAAAAACACATTTACGGTAGTATAGTCCAAAGTATTACACTTTACGGTTCGGAAGTGTGGGACGTCACCAAAGCTAATAAAAACAAATTTATGACGACAGAAATGGATTATCTGAGACGAAGCTGCGGTAGATCGAAACTAGAAAGAGTTAGGAATGAACAAATAAGAAACGAAATGAAAATGGAGCGAAATATCAATGATGACATAGAAAGAAAACAATTAATCTGGTTCGGACATGTTAAAAGAATGCCAGAGTACAGGTGGCCTAAAAGAGTACTGGAATGGATCCCTCCTGAAAGAAGAAAGAGAGGACGAAGACGGAGAAGTTGGCGCAACGATATTGATGAAGCAATGGTGGCAAGAGACTTAGAAGAGGCAACTGCGTATGACAGAAAAAGATGGAAATTGGGGGCGGAGAAGCGGCGACAGCCGTATATATATATATATATATATATATATATATATATATATATATATATATATATATATATATATATATATATATATATATGTTGCATTATTTATCTGTTTTTTTTTGTAGAAATGAAGTGCAATCTACTAGAAAAGTTAATAAAGCTAGTAAACAGACTGGTTCTAAAATATTAGTGAGAAACGTACCTTTCCAAGCCAATAAAAAAGAAATTCAAGAATTATTTAGGTAAGTAAGTTTTGTGTTTCTATCAAAAAACAAAGTTATTCACTGGTTTCAAGGCATCATTATCAGAATCTTCAGGAGTAGTTTTTTAAAATTTCACTCTTACATTTTACAACTCTAGTTAGGCATATTTAAATAATTATCACCTCGATAAGACTCAAATAATTGTGAGTGGTATATTCGGTATTCAAGTCACACTTCAGCCAGATATTTTTTACACGCCTTAGTTTAAAGCCCAAAAAATTACTATGCGTAATTAAACTATGCGTAAAATTAAAGCCTTTGAATTGGAATTCGTACGATGAGAAATAGGATCCCATGGTTTATTTCACAAAATCAGATACGCCACACACACTATCTTGAATGGAATTGCCCCTTGACAATTTTCGGGATATTCATAACACTGTGAACATAACTATATTTATTATTTTTTGCCTGGCGTTTAAAAGTTTTCTTCTTTATGTCTTATATTAATTTTTATTCGTGTTGTTAGCATTCTGTACTTGCTACCTGCGTTTATAGTGTTTAACACTATTGTATCTAATATTACGTTTTTGTAGTTGCATAATATACAGTGTAGGAAAAATTTTATGGTCGGTATGGACCTTACGTGAGATGGAGTGAGAAACAGCTGTTTAGAAAGAGAGAGGTATATTAGGTCCGCCCTTTATATCGCCAAACATGCATGCCTGGAAAGGGGAAGTTCAACGTTGCCAAACTTATTGGATTTATTTGACCTGTTGTTTTTTTTTTGCATTTGAACAATGTTCTAAGATAATCCAATTTGGGCGAAATTGATTTAAATGGCAGCTTACTGTTTTTTTATTGGGAATATGCCACAAGTTTACTTTACAATAAGTGTAATATAACATTTTGATTTCCACTTCGGAAATCGTTTTATATAAATAAAATTTATTAATGTTTCGTATTTTAAGTACGATTTCCGAATTAAAAATCTAAACATCAAAATAAGCTTATTTTAAAGTCACATTGTGCCTTATTCCCAATATGAAATAATAAACTGCATACAATAACACCACATTAAAAAATATTCATACACAATAATTATTTGGCAACGTCGTCCGTCTGGTCAGAACACCGAGTAACGGGTAGTAGAGGTGGGTCGTGGTAATTTTATCGTTAAGAGCGTAGGCATAAAATTTCGGATTAATATTTTTTAAATGCATTCATTTTTTTTGAATCCTGATAAAACTAATAAATATTCTTGAAAAATTTAAACGCAGAATGAAACAATACATTATTACCGAGGGCCGAAAGTCCCTGAAAACTTCTATAATGTTTATTTTAATAAGTTATAAGGTTAAAAAAAAATAGTGTGATTTTTAATTTCAAATATCTCATTCAAAAAACTTTTTGTTTATTCTAAGGGACTTTCGACCCTCGGTAATAATGTAATCTTTTATTCTGCATTTAAATTTTTCAAAAATATTTGTTAGTTTTCTCAGGATTCCAAAAAAAATGAATGAATTTAAAAATTTAAATTTTTGTAAACAAGTAACTATGATTGTTTAAAAGTAGTTTCAAGTAAGAGAGTACCTACATAAACAAACATAATGGCTATTATCGTTTATGTGTATATTTATTGAAGTGAAAGAAACCAATTATATATTTATTATAACTTGAAAAATAACCTAAACAATACAAATAGTAAATCGTACTTACATTTACATTACACGTTATTATTAAATCGCGAATAGTCTAAATTGACATTAAAAAACATAAGTTTTTCTACTATACCTACTTCTTATTAACCGTCTTCTTTTTTTATTTCAAATTAAACCAGATTTTGAACATGTGTTTACATTTACAATACTGTATGAATATAGGGGTTAAGTTAGGATATACATGGCGATGGTTTTTCCACCGTTGTAATGGACTCTCAATACAGATGTACGTGTAGATGAGCCATCTCCAATTAATTGATCAAAAATACACCATGGATTTAAGTCATCTTTATTGGTTTCTTTTTCTTGTACTGGTTGATTTTCAATAGTACAATCTTCTTGTTCGTTAATTATAGAAGTAACCAGCTTCTTAACTTTTTCTTTTATTTTTTTATCTTCATTTTTATCAGAAAAACCCTGCACTTTAAATGGTGAATCCATAAATGTACATAATGACAATATGCCACTCTGTTCTATCCCTTTAAATATTTTTGCTAAACCCGATATTAGTAATTGTACTACGTCGGATACTATGGATGTAAGGTTACCGTTTGCTAAAATTTTCTTGCAAGATTCTTGCAGGCCGCGTACCATAACAATCACTGAACTACCCTTCAAGTATTTTTGGTTACTAATTGTACTTGTTATTTCTTTAAACGGCCGTAAAATTTGGGAAAGCTGAGAACAAATAATCCAGTGTTTTTTATTTAGATTTGGTCTAAGTCTAAGTCTGTATTATTTAATACCGATGTGGAACGGAAATACACGCCAGTATACCGAAAATATCAAAATACAGAGAGGAGTCCGCCAGGGTTGCGTGCTGTCCCCACTACTTTTCAATGTCTACAGTGAAGCGGTATTTTAAGAAGCGCTCTCAGACTCAATAGAAGGTATATCTATCAATGGAGAAGTTTTGAATAACTTACGTTTTGCAGACGATACAGTAATAATTACGGATAACAACAATGATTTACAGAACCAAATGCAACGCCTTAATGAACGCTGTCATGAGTACGGACTGAAGATAAATTTAAAGAAAACTAAATGCATGATCATGACTAAATCTGCACATGCAAATATCCAATTGACTATTGAAGATACTGCAATTGAGAGTGTTAATAACTATAAATACTTAGGAACATGGATAACATCAGATGTAGACCAAACCAAAGAAATTAAGACACGTATTGAAATAGCACGTACATCATTTATTAAACTTAAAAAGTTTCTTTGTTGTCGGGATATAAGGTTAGAACTACGCCTGAGAATGCTTCGATGTTACGTGTTCTCTACTCTTCTTTATGGTCTGAAAGCTTGGACACTAAAACAAGTTCATCTGAATAAGTTGGCCGCCTTTGAATTTTGGTGTTACAGAAGAATCCTACGAATATCATGGATTCAAAAAATGTCAAACATGGAAGTAACTAGAAGGATAGGAAATGAGGCAGAAATAATATTAACTATTAAAAGACGAAACTTGAGTACTTGGGACATGTGATGAGAGGGCAAAAATACGCATTATTACAACTTATTATGCTGCGCAAAATCCGAGGAAAGCGAAATATGGTAAGACGAAGAATATCCTGGCTTAAGAACTTAAGGGAATGGTTTGAATGCAGTAGTGCAGATCTTTTTAGAGCGGCAGTCAACAGAGTCGGCATAGCCATGATGATTTCCAACCTTCGATAGAAGATGGAACTTAAAGAAGAAGAAGTGAAACGGATTGCCTCTTCTAACTCAGTCATTCTTTTTAACCTGTAATAGGTGAAGTTCTACCTAGTTTCCACGTCTTGGATTGGCCGTTTGGGAACTTTGTTATGTTGTAATTAATACTTTAAAAGCCTTTCTGAAGATAAGGTACTTTTTTTTAATGTGTTTTTTGCAGAATTGTCGAAAAAAAGGACTTTTCATTTTATCTATTATCAAATCAGTTTTGACATAACATTCCTGAAGTAATGAATTTAACAGTTTTTCTTGTTGGCGGTTTATATCCAGGAATCCACCCTGCAAACTTTTTAAAAGCTGGTTCTTCACCTATAGAAAACGGATGAAACGAGTCTTTGCATAAGTTTAGTAAATCAATAAGTTTAGTCAAGAAAAAGAAACTGATAAAGATGACTTAAGTCCATTGTGTATTTTTGATGAATTAATTGGACATGACTCATCTAAACATACACCTGTATCGAGAGATATACAAGAAGTCGACATGTATTTGTCTGATAATATATTACCCACAATAAATTTCGAACGGAGATTGGAACTGTCCATTACCGTGGTGGAAAAACCATCGCCATGTATATCCTAACTTAGCCACTATATTCATAAAATATTGTAGTATTGTAACAAAATCTTTTCCTTGTGAACACATGTTTAAAATCTGGTTTAATTTTAAATAAAAGAAGAACACGGTTAACAAGAAAAGTGGAAAAACTTGTTTTTAAATGTCAATTTAGACGATTCGCGATTTAATAATAACGTGTAATGTAAATGTAAGTAAGATTTAATGTAAATGTAAGTACTATTTGTATTGTTTAATTTATTTTTCAAGTTATAATAAATATATCCTTCGTTAGGTTCTTTCACTTCAATACTTATACACATAAACGATAATAGCCAATATGTTTGTGTACTCGCTAATTTGAATCAACTGGTTACAGTTTACGAAAAACGGTTCCGATAAAAATTTAAAAAACGGGAGGACCCACCTCTAGTTTTTTAGGTATACATATTAGAATCGGAACCAGAGAATATGTAAAATATCTCTGATCGGAACTATTCGTCTCACTAATGGCCAATAGGTGTTAAAAATATTTGTGGAGGGGAGACCAAGGGGAAATATTGTTATCTTTGTATATTCGCTGAAAATATGATTTTATATCTGCGTTAGATATCCTGTTAAATTCTACCATACCGACCATAAACTTTTACCTATACTAGTCTATTCCATTCTTTGTTGTCCCATTTGAGCTTTGCCAGGTGCATCTTCTCTTTTCTGGTTTTTTAAAGACCGTTTTGTTTTATATATATGCTTTCTTTCTTTTGCATAGTTTACTAGTATTTCTCTCTATTAAAATTTCATTCTTGTTTTCTTCTTTCCTCCAATTTTGCGTTCAAATCGCATAAGATTGTATTACCTGACTTTGCTTGGCATCATTGCTTCATTAATTTCTTCGTAGAATTGCCCTACTTCCTCATCTTCGTGATCTGACTATATTTATAGATATAAATATTTCAATTAAATAAATAAACGTTTTTGTAGCTACTGAAATAAACTGTTGTATTTTTTTGGTTAAATGGATAATACATGGATTAGAGCTGGTACCAAATCGGTATGAGTACTATTAGAGCATGTGTCTTTGCTAACTGATAACTTTCTCTTTTTCTTTCTTTAGTTTTATCGATCCCCTACTGTAAGTAATTTGTCAATTTCGACGCCTGAATATTTTACTAGGTTAACAACATAAATACATAGTTAAACTAAATACCCTACGATTTAAACCATAAAAACTAATGTTGACCAAAATATAATTTTGGTTCCTGCTTTATTAAAAAAAAAGGTTTTGAGTTTTACAATTTCTTTTGTTATAAAATGTGTAACATGTGTATATTTTTCAGTACGTTTGGAGAAATTCGAGCATTAAGATTACCCAAAAAAATGGGAGCTGGTACAGACAGCCACAGAGGATTTGCTTTCATTGACTACACAACAGCATCTGATGCTAAGGTAGTATTATATTACATAACAAAGTTACAATGAAAATTCTATAAGAGTTGATGATATAACACGAGAAGATCAAATTTTAATTCTATCCGAGTAAAACCAATAATCGTAATATATTGTTATGTGACTGTAATTACGGTCCTGTAATATCTCGAAAATTCTACCTGATGTTCTATTAATACTTTATTCGCGATATCTTCCTGGAATTTCGGTTGAAAATTCTAACTCAACTTTCAGTGTGATATATACGCTGTAACAAAAAAGCTGACAAAAGTAGACAATAAAAAGGTTCTCGTTCACAATACTTAATGAACACCACGTTGCTCAGTTTGGAAGCTTCATTGGGGTGGGTAAGGATATAGATTATAAAAATGCAGATCAAAAACAGATAGATAAACGATAGAAATTAGTTAGATAACAAAATATAACAGTTTGACAAAAAAAAAAAAACAAGAAACACGGAATACAGCTAAACCGTAAAATAGCTAAACCGTCAAACAGAATGGGGTCCAATTATGTGTAACTAAAATTTTATGAACAAGCTCTACGGGCCAGGGTGCCATTTAGGTGTTGGGCAAAATAATATTATCGTGTCCTACGTTCACAGCGGCATTTAAGTGTTGTGAACGACAAGCTTTTTATTATCTACTTTTGTCAGCTTTTTAGTTATACATAATTTAATTGGCGTCCAACGTTTGGTTTGATAATCTTATTTTTCGTAACGCCCAAATGGTGCTCTGCACCGTGGAGCTTGTTCATAAAATTTTAATTTATAAAACTAATTATATAACTATTCCCATTATCCATATCCTCTATATCTCCTCTTACATAAAACTTCCATTATTATTTCTCCTTCTGATATTTATTTATCTTTCTCAGTCCTCTCCAAGCCACTCCTAAATGCATTTAACTTCCATCCCCACCTTTTTCCAATATTTTTTAAACTTCACCTCTGACCCTTATGCCTAATGTTTTTCATCCATCAATATTCGATAAGTAGATTCAGATCAGATAATTCTATTCCCTCTCTATAAACTTTTCACAACCACACAATAAGTATAATCTCTCACTAGTATACATCCCCTTACACTCACATACCCACATAATTTCATGGTCCATCTAAAGCCAAGCCACACATCAGAATCTCCTTTTTATTATTTACAATACTACAGTAACGTCCACATTTTTTAACAACTAAAAACACTAACCCCCCTCCTTATTTTTTCCTTTAAAGTATATTTCTCTTCCCTTATCAACACATGCTTTCCTTAGGTTATGTTTTCGGACATCCAGAGATCTCAGTTCCTTATTCAGCTAATTTTTCCTATTACAACAATAAAAAATTACAAATTACAACTTTAGCCTAGTAAATAGATTCACCCTATATCCATCAATTTTGTCCTCATTGTTCCCATATTTTCTCAACACACATTAATTTTTAATCAATTCTCGCAATTTTCATACATTCATAAACTTATAACTTAGACATATATATTCACAATATTATAGTAACATCCACACCATTTTTACCACAACTGCTTTAACTTTAAGATCATCATTCCGCTTCATTTTCCTTTAAAGCAGTGGCGCACCCAGTGGGGGTTTGGGGGTTAAAACCCTTCCCCCCAGGACCCTATTCCGACACTGTTATTCACAAATTTTAAGGACTTAAAATAGTGGAGGTAGCATAAAAAAATTTCGGTGCGCGACCAAAACCCCCCCAGAGCAAAATTCTAGGTGCGCTACTGCTTTAAAGTATGCGTTATTTCCCTTGTCCACACATGCTCTCCTCAGTTTATGGTTTCGGGCCTCTGGAGATCTGTCTAGTCTTCTCGTCTCACATTACTTACTTACTTTCCGTGTCCGGAACACCAACAGCTTTAAATTTTGTATTTCCAATGGTTGGCCACATAGATGACCCTGTCATTCGTTAAAAATAGGTCTTCTGTGCAGGTCTCTGCATTATAGTAGATGGTGACTATTCTAAACCACGCCACAGTCGCAGGTATCGTCCTCCTAGTATCGCCATTTCTTCAGGTTACTAGCACAACGTGAAACGCCAGTTCTTAGTCTGTGTAACGCTTTCCTTGTGGGATAAGGAAATTATGTCCAGCGGCCATTTTCTCCGAGGGGGCATAATGTGTTGTAGCTGACGCTTACCATAGGTGTATTCGGCGCGACTTTTGCTCTTCAGGAAGGGATCGTAAGTTTTTCAGAAAGTTTTTCTGAGATTTTAGTCTACTTGGCTAAACTTGGTGGTCATACAAGGTGTGTCTTCGATCCGTCCTTGGCATGCTTGTTTATAAGGTGGAAAGCACACGCCTGGGTTTTTGTACGATTAGGTTTCAAATGATTTTAGTCATAGTATGGTGCTGTCTTCTAGGGCATCTGCCAGTTTTACTTCGACTTCATTGAAGGTACTTCCCTGAACTGCCACAGCTGTATCATCCGCGTAAATAAACTGTCTTGTTTGTTGGTTCGAAATGTCAGTTTTTTGTATGTATCAATAAATAATCTTTAATAAATAGTTTGGAGATATTCTTATGTGTACGATTATTGTAATTACTAAACCTATTAACTTATTTTCGTCTAGTAATTTCATCACAGAATACATACAAATCCCATTTAACTTTAACAAGAATTCAAATTCTACTCTTCAATGACGGCATGCGCGAACACGACCTATTTTGTGCTACGGGAAGATCCTATCTTGTTATTATAGTATCATGCCTCCACCGACTGTTCTTGGACTGGAGCGTTACGTAGAAGCGTCTATTCTGGACAAGACATTTCATTATCCTTGTTAGTCGGAAATCCTTTGTAATTTCGTAGAGTTTTACCAGCAGCCGTTGATTGTTAACTGTGTCAAAGGGTTCAGTTAGGTCTATGAACACTGCTCCTGTTATTTCTTTCCGTTCTGTTGGGTGAGATTAAGAGTTTGACTGCAGCAGCATTTTCCGGGTCTAAACCCTGCTTATTCAGGAATATTTTTAGTGTCCACAGATTCAGCGATCCGGTTCAGTATCATTCTTTCGAACGCTTTGAAAAGGTGACACAAAAGAAAGGCAGATCTAAAACTCTTTGTATCTGCCGGATCCTTTCCTGATTTTAAGAGGGCCACCACTGTAGCTTTCCTCCAGATTTTGGGAATTTGGAATGTATGGACGCAACAGTTCATCATTTTTACGAGCCACTCTAAGGTTTTTGTTCCAAAGTGCTTTATTTGTTCTGCTCGTATATCGTCTATTCCAGCCGCTTTATTATCTTTCATTTGGTGGATCGCCCCTCTCATCTCCTCCAGACAAAAGGAGGTACCTAGAACATCCTCTCTATCATCTTCTCTAAAACACATTAGCAATAAGACATCACATATTATAACTTTAGCCAAATAGAGCCACTCTTCACCCATCAATTTTGTTTATTCCACTAATTATGTTAACATACAATAATATAATAATATATCAGCAGTAAACATCATTTATTCTGTTCACCTTCAATATCAATAACACACTCAAATGCATCAATTAACATTTTACTCTGTAATAATAAAATTTAAAAAAAAACCAACTTCCTACACATATCTGTTTTCCATAATCCATGTACCAAATGTTGAAAAAACATATAGGACCTTTTATAAAAATTTTTAGTGCTCCACCACTAAATTCAGATATCTGCCTACCTATATTCATAGCTTTTATCAACCTTTAGTCCACCTACAATAATACCCAATTTACAAATTTTCCAACCAACTTTCAGGATAAAGCATACTCTAAATTACAACATATTGATGGAGGCTACTGTCATTATTAATCAAATTTTAACATTTTTCATTATATATGTTGCTGGCGACTGTCACATTTAGACACATAACTCAGGTTATTAACTTTCACATTTAATTTAATTAAAGTGGTTATACTTATTGTAGAATAGCACTGATGATGGAATAGTTATTCCGAAAACATTCTGTGATGTAGGCTTATTTTTCTAGTTCATAGTTCCCATTATGATGTTGCATAATAGTTACACTTTTATTTTAATTTCTTTATTGTGTTCGCAAAACAACTATATTTAGAATTAATTATTTATTATTAGTTTGAGATAATATAATATGTTAAATTGACTGGATGTGTTATATAGCATATTTCGATTTACTTTTTTTTATGGACTGTTTTCTTTTAAATGTATTTTTTGCAGGCATGATGGAAATAATGCGCAGTTAAATTCAATCGACATATTCGATATAATATTCATGTTTTAACTAAGATACTGCTAAATTTAATGACTTGTAGCTTATACAATATTTTCCCATTTATCATATATCTTTTGTTCAAGGCCGCATTTGAAGCACTTTCTCAAAGTACACATTTGTACGGTAGACGTCTAGTGTTAGAATGGGCAGCTCAAGAGGAAGGAGTTGATGATATCAGAAAACGAACGGCCAGCCATTTCAGACCAGAGGAAGAAGGAAAAAAGAAGTCAAAGAAAAGTGTTTTTACCATGTAAATCTTGTAAATATACATATTTTAAATGTTTGGTTTCTTCTTTACTTACTGCCATCGAGGAACAATTATTATTTTATTATAATCTTTCCTTACAAATTGTTTTGTGGATAGAAGCCTTTATTGACGAACCTAATGCATATTTACCTATATCCATTAACCTATCTACCTATGCTCTTTATTCCGTGATTAAATAGTTACTTTATGATTTTAGATAATATATGCTTTGCCAATATATGGCAAGGGTGACCTAATACATGACTGATCTAATTTGGCTGGGAACCTTAGTTTTTATATTCAGTTATTTTATAATTCGGTCGAGATTCTATAAGTGTTTGAACAATCTTTCATTTGTCATCTATAACTATTTATTACTTAAGTAATTAAGTATCAAACAATGACATCTTTCTCCTTTATCAGGATGATATTGTCAAGTTTGCGCCTTTGAAAGGTATTCTGCAAAGAATCTGCTTTTTTTTTATTGTCAATTAATCTAAGTCTGTTTTCTGGCGTTTTAAATGTGGTTCTGACACAATAGACATATTAGTTAATTCTAATAATTTCTACAGAATAGAGTTTACAGTTGTGTTACGTAAAATGACGGGATTCGTGACTGGACGTGACCCGTCGTGAGATGAAGTAATCTTCATGGGTGTGAACGTGACTCAATGCAATTCGCGATTGGACGCTGCCAGGCCATTGCATTAGTTGCGGCGGATTAAGTTGCGGAACTTATCTCAGTAATCAAGCGCGATCGCAGAGGCACTTTTAAGTTTTGAACCTACGACAGGTTGTATGTCGTGCTTTTATATTTTTTTAAAAAATATATTTTTAAGAAATATTTTTAACGAAATATAAATTACTTTAAATTAAAAATGGAAAAAGTAGTGTGTGAATGAGTTTTGAATTAATAAAGTTTGAAGAAGTTATTCAATATTTTGCACTGTGATCTTTATCCGCTTAATATAACAGAAGGTAATTTTTATTAATATTTTTTAAACGTATTTTCAATTTAATTAACTTTGTTCCATAATAAAGTTTGTTCCAGATTTAATCATTACAAACTTAGTTAAATTAAAATTAATTTTAGTGCAGCCTTTGGTAAAAGGAGAATATGAAAGAATAAAAAATAAGATTACAATATCTTTTTAGAAACTCTAGTTTCTTTTACTATAGTGTTATAGACCGAAGAATACACACAACATAGTTTTTGGACTCTTATCTGGTAATTTTTTCGATTACAATATATATTTTAAGAAATATTGACCCATGAAACGAAGACTATAGTAATTCAAAAAAGTTGCTATTCACAAGTTGCAAAAACACTTAACTTACTATTATGGTATTATTATCTTTTTTAAGCTTCCTGTGAAGTGTACCAGTGAATTTATTTTAACAGAACTCGAATACTTTCCAATCGCTAAATTTACTTGTGCTATGAAGTACCCTTTGTATCAGATGCAGGATCCACATCGTATGATATAGCTTTAATTCACAGCAACCGCTGCAGACACATCAGTGCTCATAATGCACAAACAGGTACATCATTATTATTTGATATAACTGTTGATACCACTAACAACTTTACTGGGAACTTATCACATAATTCAGAACTCGATCCTAATTATGAACATGAAGAAACATTATATCCTGACTCATCTAATATGTCAGATACTGAATCAAAAGTCAAGCGCACGGAGTAAATGTTTGTAGAAGGCGTAAGATGATGCCCAAAGAAAAAACAGGTAGAAAGCATGTAATAAATTAAAGTCAGTAGCTTGATAAGGTTTAGAAATACCTAAAAATAGGCTTCTTCTTCTTAGCCTTCTATCGTCCATAGGCCTCTCCCAATTCCTTCCATCTGTCTCTATCCTGAGCAACATATTTCCAATTTGTTCCGCCTATTCTTTTAATGTCATCGACCCAAATCATCTGTGGTCTTCCTCTTGGTCGTTTACTTTCGTAAGGTAAATCCTGCCCATACTAGTCTTACTCTTCTAGTAATTTCCGCACTTTAGTTCTCTTTGTCAAGTTTCAGGATTTGGCCTAGGTAGATATATTCCTGGACTTGTTCTATCTCACTGCCATATATAGTTATACGTCTGGGGTCATCTGTGTTTGTCATTATTTTTGTTTTTTTCATATTCATTTTTAGGCCGACGTATTGGGAGCTGCCTGCTAGTTCCTCCATCATAATTTGCATTTCCCCAAATGTGCTTGCTATAATCACTATGTCGTCAGCGAATCTGAGGTTGTTTAACTTGTTGTTATTAACGTTAATGCCATAGGTTGACCAATTTGTAGTTTTGAAGACGTCTTCTAGGGCTAGGTTGAAAAGCTTTGGCGATATTACGTCTCCTTGTCTCACTCCTCTTTTAATGGGGGTGGGATTTTTATTTTCGTCTAGTTGTACTATCATAGTTGCATTTTCATATATATTATGTATCAGTTGCCTATATCTCGAATCTATTCTACAATTATTAATAGCTTGTTCTATGGCCCACATTTCCATACTATCAAATGCCTTTTCATAGTCGCCTAAGTCAAGAAATACGAGTAGTTGGTATTCATTTGCCTTCTTTATCAATGTTCTCATTGCTAGCAGATGGTCTGATGTACTATATCCTTTGCGGAAGCCATCCTGTTCAACAGGTTGATAATTGTCCATTTTGTAGGTCAACTGGTTGTTAATAATTCTCATAAATAGTTTGTATACTTGACTGAGCAACGATACAGGTCTATAATTCTGTAGATCACATTTGTCCCCTTTTTTGTATAAGAGTATTACTAGACTCTCGTTCCAGTCTTTAGGGATCTTGCTATTATGGAGACATCTATCAAATAGCTCTGCTAGTACAGGGATTGTTAGCACCGAACAAAAAACTGTAAGGGTTTACTTATTTTTGACAGACCGATCAAAAATGCATACAAAGAAAACTGCAGAAATAAATGTGATAAGAACATAAGTGTGGAACATAAAACATTGTTTAACGAATTTTGGAAAATAGGTAACCACACTAGACAATGGGATGACATAGCAAGGTACGTTAAGAAAGTGGTAAAAAAGCAAATGAAAACGGCAAATCAACGAAATTTCTCTAGAACATAATATAAGCTGCCTTTCAACAATAACGATATATCGATTTGCAGAGCCATGTTTCTCAATACTGATGGGATATCTGAACAATAGGCAACACATGCTTTAAGCAAAATTCTATCCCTTGATGCAGATAGAAGAGAGAAGCACGCTATAAGATTAAATAAAATTGATGAAATCATCTTAAGCAGGTACCTTAAGACAGTACAGCGAAATTATTAATGCCAAGTTCAATGCATTCATTTTGGTTCAAAGTATGCATTTTTCAAACTAAAAAAGCACTAATGCAGTCTGTGTAGCCTATCTGCTAGCAAGTCCAGAAACAAAATTAAAATAAAAGATAGGCTTGATAAATAACTTTCTAATAAAAAAGCTGCAAGAGCTTTAAGAGTGTCGTTAAACAGCTGGCGATCAATGATAAGTCATTTTGTGCCACTTGTTTTAATTTACAGAAAGTCCTCCTAACAACCCAATCTGCTGTAAGCGACTTATAATAGTAAACATATAATTTTTCAACTTTATGATATGGAAAATTACAAAGGCTAGTTTTATGTATGGCATGAGATAATTGCGAAAAGGGTATCAAAGGAAATAAGCAGATGCATTTTAAAATTTTTAAAAAATCGAAAAGAAAATAGAGTCAAAAAGGTTATTTTTTATTTTGATAAGGATAACTCGAGTACAAAATTGCAACCGTTTATTTTCTCTTTGTTTTCCTATGCTTCTATGAATCTGAATCTTCAAATAATTCATCTATTGCTAGAAACAGGTCACACACAAAACGAAGGAGACAGCATGCATGTTATTGAAAATGCCAAAAAGTGGCAATAGGCAATATATGATCCTGATCAATGGATCATGTTGATTCGCATAGCAAAATTATCTGGAAAGCCATACATTGTGAGATCAATAGCACAAAACGATGTTTTTAGTTTAAAACAAAAGGTTAACTTAGACCATTGGGTATAAGGATGATGACAGAGAAAAGCTAAAAATATGAAAGATAAAAGAAATGCACTTTACGTTGAAATTCAAATATACCTATGCTGATGAGTTGAAAATAATAAAATTTAAAAAATCTCAAAGAAATAAAATAGAAAATAATAATTCTAAAGACTTACCTTTACTGTTTACAAGCTTGGTTCCAATAAATGCCTAACAATTGAATGGTTTACTTGACTTGTGTAACTGTAAACCCAGAGTAAACAGTCTTCTTAGCATTTGTGAGGTTTACCATGTTTTATTTTTCCCTTAAGGTCAAGAATCTGACGAAAATTAAAAAAGAAAGTTGAAACCATTTATGAAGACCAGCTTGCCATTCAATTCTAATAACTTTATTATTAGTGGACCAAGTAAGCGAAAATATCTATTACATCTTTATGTATAACATTGTACTGCTCTATTGTGTCAATCAGCAATGCTCAACAAGTTTTCGGAATGGTACGGAATATAATATCATAGTTATTGCTTATACAGTGAATTTATTAAATAACATGTTTTAATGATTTTTGTTTACTTTATTGTGATGTAGAATGTCGGTTTACCAAATAATCAAAGTTGTGCCGTTACAAGAACATATTATTAATATTAGAAAAATAAGGTTCCATCTGCCTTCCACATATTATATCATTTATGAATGATTCATGCTATCATGTTACCTAATAACTGTTATCCACAAAGAAATATGCATTGCGGCGGTGTTATCTGTGAAGAACATATTACCATCAAATTCGTATTTTGTTATCATAATATAATATTCAAATGCAAACATCACCTGAAATACTAATCAAAAAAACTGATTAAATTATGTTAAGTTTATTTAGTATTTAATTAATTCAGTTTTTGTTTATTTAGTATAGGTATTTAAAATGTCAATAATAAAGTAAATTTTATTGTGTGTAATAAATTATATAGATTGTGTGAAAACAAGTAGAAT